GCTTAGAACTAGCTACTAGTGCCCAAAGGGGTGCCTATAAAAGCCAGGTAGGAGCAAACCAGAAGCAGGGGAGTTTTGCTGCTCTGAGTGGTGCCCTCCCCTCTCCCAGCTGAACACAGCACAGTCTAGAGCACCACCAGCTCAGTGAGGACACAGCCCCAGATGAAGTGGTAGTGTGGTTGACAGCAGGGCATGGTCATGTTTCAAAGCTCCAGATGCATCACTCAAGCTAGAGCCCAGCAGCCAGCTCAGCTCAGAGCTATGCTGCACTGTGAGAGCCTTCCTAGGTCCCCAGGGAAGCCAACTCTGCTCCAAGCTGTGGGAAAACCACAACCAGACTCCATGTTTTAGGTTTTTACTGCCTGCCCAGCCACATCATCAGACTATCTCATTTTTAGCAAATGATCTAGACATCACTGAATTCTTCAGATATTAGAAGACTATCCTTCAGCCTGCTATGCCACCTCTGAACGTGACCCCCCACCTAGACTGCAGCCCTTTAAGTTATCCTTCATTTGTTTGTTGGTGTGCTCCCTTAGATCTGCAGATCGCTTTGATTATTTGAACATCTGGAAGTTGTCACATGCTTTTTTTGACCGTGACCATCTGAAATATTACCCAGCAGGACTTGAGGGGAGACACAGTAAGGAAACAAAAACATCCTACGCATGAGAACATGTGGCAGGAATTATCAAATGACACCATCCCAAAGGGTAGTGCTATATATCCAAGCAAAGGTGAACTTTCTCTCCATCCCCTAAAGCCAGAACAATTGTTTTCCATAATATTCACTCAGACATAAAACAGCATTGCACACAAATACCTAATATATTTTTCACTAAACATTATATTATCAAAGTTAGTTGTCTGTTACTAATGGAGAAAAAGCATTTCTTTCATCCTCTGGTTTTTAAAGCTGAAGAGTAGATCCCCTCGTACACAATTCTTCACAGAAAAACCTTCCCAAAATAGTTCAGTGCCTGAGTTCATTAGGGTGCTTATTCCAGGTTAGCCTGATGTCCTCACAGACAGAGTGCAGGTCCTTTGGTAAAGCTAGAATGGAATATATAAAACTATGAGATAAAAAAGTTTGAAATATAGAGTCAGAGTTTCTCAGCAATCCTGTCACAGGGACTAGAGGTTCTGGAAAAGAGGGGAAATGCAGACCAAAATCAATACAGATGTGGAGGTGGGAGCCCAGAAAAATCAGGCACAGTTTTTAGATTTGGTTTCTCATTCCTATCAAGATACAGATAACAAATGAAGCATGTAGACACATACAAACTGTACTGCTGCAGTCTGGCAGCTGTTAACCAGTTATATTTTGGCCTTCACCAAGAGGTTGTCTCTAAAATCAGTAGTAGATGGCAATGGATTTTCTTCTGACCAGCCTCTTTGCTTACAGATTATAGGACCAAAATCTCATTGTCCTGGAAGAAAACAGGAACAACCAGGATGAGCGTTCCCATGCATGACTTCCAATCCCCCTTCCCTGGGAGCTGCCAGCTGGAAAGGTGGTATCTGCTGGGGTTTCCTCCCAGGGACATGATACTAGTAGAAGCAGAAGTAGAACTAGTTATTCTATCAACCCTCAGCCTCTGCATGTCTCCAGTCAAATCAGACCTTGATGTACTGGCTTTGCTCTGTGGCTGCCACTGTTCCTTCTTCCTTTGGGGCTATTTTTATATTTGGTGGTGCAGTTCTCTTTTTCCTTCTTTAAAACAGTGCCCATGATTACTGAAGTCAGTTCCTGACAAGCCAAATATATTTTGATAAGACCCCAAAGTCCTAGAAGGAATTCCTTGTAGTGCAGCAGCTTTGGTTCCCAGGAATCGTCTTAAAAAGGACGCTCGTCCTCAGGCATAACCTAACAAAAATATTCCATGGTCTTTGTGTTGGGATATGACGGAAGCTGGTTCGTTTGTCCCCTGACAGAGGACGCGGGTAGGGAGTGTTCGTGTGAGCGAGGACAGGATCCGGACTTAGGCGGTGGTATAGGGGCGCTGCCCACTCGCCACACGCGGGCTCCTGCTCTCCCCCGGCTGAAATAACATCCTCGGGCCGCGGGAGCAGCGCGGGCGCCGTCCGGGCGTGGTTCCTGCGCGCACCCACGAGGTGTCACTGCTGCCCCGCCGCCCGCCCCGCGGGAGCGCCCGGACCCGGCCCCCGCACCCGAGCGGCGGTGAGTGAGGGGCGTTTGTGCTGCGCGCACCTGGCACATTCTTTAGTTGCTGATGCTGAGAGGAAAATTCGCATCTGATTGCTGCCCAGCGACTTCCAATATCACCGCAGCGGAGGAACATAATATTGGTTTTATTTGTTTCAGATGAATATCGATGAGTTCTCAGCACATACATCAGCAGGACTCGGCACAGAAGAAGACCAAGACCATCAAATAGAAAGAAGAGGTATACGGTCATTTCAGAACGATTGGGAGGAAAAAAGGAAAAAAAAAATCACCAGGTTTTTAAGAACACCAAACAAGTTTGCTCTACTATGGAAAAGGAAATTGCTTTGTCTTCCTTCCTTTGTTTCTGATTTTATGCTCTATTTAAATTTCTTAAAAAATGGACTATAATGAATACTAAAAAAGTCCCATCCAGTAAATGTCTATAATAAATATTTTTCATAGTCAGCATTACACAATTCAAAGTAGTACCATTCAGATTACACATTTTTTTCCATAGCAAAATTAAAACTGCAGCAGTAGTGTAGAAGATCAGTGCTGATACACTGGCAATACTGATCCTACCATGTCAGTACCAACAAAACAGAAAGTAAGAGCATCCAGGGGAGTGATCTGTTAAAAGAAACCATTTCTGCATTACATGAACGACTGATGCTGACTGCTGCAGACAGATTTTCTCTGCAGAGCAAGAAATAGGAGGCAGCTGCTGCTTCTGCTGCATGCACAAGATGGCGAGGCCTCAATAATGAGGAGTAATGAGCTCCATCCTGGTGCAGGAGCTTTCAGGAACTGAAAAGGATGCAGCTGATTCTACAGGCAACATCAGAATTCTTCACTATGTGGGCCATGGAAAGGCTTTTTCTTCTCCAGCATCTCCTTTTCTTTTAACACAATGCATATTCAAAATCTTTATTTAGATGTAAAATAAAAGCAGCAGTGTTTTTTATATATATTTTTTATCACTCCTTCCTCTCTCTCTCATATTCCTCTAGGTCTTCTGGCCTGCAAACTCATGCTTTTTTCCTTCTCATTAAAAGACACTCCACCTAGTCCATACTGTTGTTGGAAAGAGGTTGTCTTCAAAATCTTTTTAGAAACAAAGGTGTATTCCCAGCACATGCTGTGGTCTGGGGTGGGAGAAGTAGCAGGAGAAATCCAAACCATCTTTCAAAAAAACCCCAAGTCCACTCTACTGTATCAGAGATTCCACCACTGATATCCAGCTAGCAAGCACAATGGTACCTCTGAAGAAAAAGGTAACTACATTTTAAATCCAATCTTACAGGTTTCACATCTCTGATTTCAGTGGAAGTATGCTGGGAGTTTGAGGCGGGTAAAAAACAGTGGGAGATGCCAACTGAGGCAATGAAAGGTCTGCAGATGCTCATCACTCCTGGCAGATAGGAATCCCAAAGTGAAGTTTTAACACAGTAATGGGATTCAAGCAGGTTTCAAATAGAAAACAATTTTTCTGTTTTTACACTCTGTTCTGACCAACAGCAGAAGAAATATCTAAAATTCTTATCTTTCATGGTTGGCTTTTTGGTTGGTTGGAGGTGTGTGTAATTTTTTTTCCCATAAAATATCTGAGTGTTGATAATACACAAGTATACAGAAAAAGTAGACGATATGGGTCTGTATGGCTGGAAGTACATTGGGAAGAAGCCCTTTGGAACAAAATAAAAGTCTGATATTTCAATTTTTGATTACAGGAAGAAAAAAAAGATAGAAGTGAAAATTCTCCCCTGTACACAAATGCACTGGTGGTAGAGCAGCTGCAGCTACTCCCTTATGCCGGGGTTTCCAACACTGACAGAAAAGGAGGAGGAAGACAGTTGAGAAGGAAATCAAGGGAAGAGAGATAAGGCAAAGCCTCACTAGTCAAGGACCCAGAAAGGTGGCTGAACTACTTCAAGAGGGTTGGAGGAAGGAGAAATGGAGTAAACCAAAATCACTAAGGAATTACAAACTTACTAGTTCCCTAAAACCAACTTTCTGGAAACCAATTCCCTCATTATTTGAGCATGTCTAACTGTCTGAACTGTATCTTCAGTAGTTTACTCTATCCATTGATGAAATTCCGCATTTGTGCCTCCTCCCACAAAAAATTTTACCTGTGATTTAGGCACATCAGTTTCTTTAGGCATGTTTATTGGCTTCCCTGGAGCTAACCTCTCAGACCAGTATGGACCAGGACTTAGAATATTTCCTAGTCTTGGGCTTTAATCTTCCTTCCTGCCTCCCACAGACATTTTCTTTGATAAGGGACAGAGACACTCTGCATCACTGTGTGGACACTCTCACATCAGTCTTACCATGAAAGAAACTTAAGCTCCTGATTTATTTCAAATTCCAGTGATGGAAGTGAATGATGCAAGTACCTGTCCCCTTCCTTCCCTCAGTCCTGGGCACCAGAGGAGTCACACACCCAGGCTTCCTTTTGCCTGTCTCCATTCAATGCACCTAAGCAAAGGAGTAATTCACCTCCCTCATATCTCCTGAGGTTTCCAGTGATGCCTCCCCACCAGATGAGGAAGGATGTCCCTACTGTGTAACAACACCCCTGCACAGGCACCCTGCCTCCCAGGACATTGCCTATGTCCCTTCTCCATCAGCTTGGGAGAGCAGTGGAGGAGGAGTAGTGAGCTGATGAGAACAGGATGGGGAACAAGAGAGGCAGACTTCTGGGAGAAGGATGGTCCCCTGAGATCTGGCCACAGTCAGCAGCAGTTTCTGCATCTGCATCTGCATCAGTCCCTGCCCTAGCAGTGGTCTGCCTTTCCTTTAATAATTTCTGGTTTGTTTTGGTTTTTTTTATTCTAATTTCTTTCAATTCCAAGAAGGAACAGAGGAGATAAATATAAAGAGCATTAGTGGGCACCATCAGACCATGAGGGAGGGATCAATGGAGCAAAGATCAGAGGAACAAAGGAAAAGAACCATAAAAGACAGAGAATCCTAAAAAAGATGTTCCTGAGGGGGAGGGGGAGAGAAGAAAGAGAATCTAAAAGAAAACTTTTATAAAGAACAGTGCATCAAAAGAGATTAACTGAAAAAAGGTCATAGATTTCAGGTTACACATTCCTCTCAGCAAAAAGGTAGAAAAGTAAGTTACATTAAATATGCCATTTCCACTCATCTTTTAAGGGAAAGGGGTAAAGAAATAAAAAGATGGATAGACAAGATAAATGCATAATGAAATGCCTCATTTATGTGATATGCGTGCTGAAGGAGCAGCTGCAAGGTTAAGAGGAAGGGTGGGAAATAGTACCCCTTTTGAAAGCTGACAGCAGTGATGAATCTAACAAGAGATTTCAAAATCTAGTCAAATCAAAAAGAGAGCCAATGAAGATGAGTGCAGCAGAATATATTTTTGGAGCAAAGAAAAAATACAATAAAAATTGTGCAAATGCCACTAACAAGGTAACATTTACAATCGTGTCTTAATATTGTTTGATATTTACTGTCCATGTTCACACTTGTAAATAAGGACTATCATCTAGCATTTGAGCAGGTTCTCAGAGTTTATTATAAGGGCAATTTTTCTTTACAATTTACACATACAGATCCCTTACAGCAAATAGTGATGATGGTACTCACTCTCATTCAAGTGTTTGTGTTAAAGAATCAGGCCAGCAGATTCCTCACTCTCACCCACACATAAAGATACCCGTAGATAAAAGGACTGCAAGTTTTGTACAGGTAGAATGAAAAAAAAAATTACCCTTGGGAAAAGATAGAGATGGTCTGAAAAATGAGGATGATACCCGATGGACTGACCCAAGAAGAGTCAGCTATACACAAAGGGGAATGATCATCTACATTAGATTGCAAGGGATCTGGGCACCATCCTCCAAGAAAGTTGGAGCGATGAAGTCACTCAACACTTCAGAAAACACCAGTAAGAAAACCAAAGGAGACTGTAATGTCACAATGTCCATTTATGTTGGGAACATATTATTATAGTGACTGTAGCAGCCTGGTCAAAAATAAAGGGATAAATCAAAGCAAAGATTCAGTTTAGATAGTAGGAAAAAAAAACTTTGTAGTTTTCTTTGTAGAGATAATGACTGTCTGGAGAGACTCTGCAGCCCTCCAGTCGATGTCTATAAAAACAAAACCCATTTAGTTGTACACATGTCATTTGAGGACTCCACAGTCTGAAACATCATGAGGAGGGGGAATGCGGCCTCAGAGAAATCATCTTCTCTTCCCCTTCACCTCTTTAATATTGGGGCATTCCGCCTATTTTCAACTCACAGGAGACAAAAGCAGTCTGTTCAGCAGTGAGATCAAACAGTAGACTGGTGTGAGTCACAACCACTCAGCAACTTGCTTAAATGAATTGTGGACACAGAATACGTTCAAAGAATTTGTTGATAATTTCCCTTGAACTTGTTGGGATTAGAGCCTTATTTTATTTAAGTCCCTGTAGCTATTAAATTTCTTTTAGCAAAATTCCTGTGTTTTATGCACCTACGTTAATAAGTCCAGTGTTAGTTCTATACACAATATCTTCAGCTAGAAGGGACATAAAAAATATGACAATTTTAAAATATAAATTCAAACAGCTGTTATTCACTATGCATAAAAATAAATAATTGGAAGAGCCACAAATAAATCACTGGCTTTCCCAACTCCTAATTCCAGTTACCTATAGAAAACAGCCTTCTCTCTCTTTGGTGGTCTGCTTTGGCTTTAATTTTTTTTTTAATAATTTTTTTAATAAATAAACATCTTAAATGCATTCCTTGCATAGTCTTGTTTCTGGAGCTGGTTGTTGCCCTCCCATTTGTTATTTCTTAGGGGATAATTTGGCATTTATGTCTCGTGATTTCAGACAATATTAGAGGTGCAATTTGAAAAAGGCAACTCCAGAAATCTGGTATTATTGCTCAAACATTATTGCTTTTTAGCTGAAAAAAAAATGTAGTTGTTGTGTTTTAAAGGACCAGTCACAGTTGATCTTGCCTGATTTCCCGGGTTTTAATTCCAACTCAGTATGTCTGTGGCCAACAGGCTGGCAATCCACCAGCTTCATTCTGCCTCTCTTGCTCCTAATTACTCAGCTCTCCCGTACTCCTCCCTTGTCGGTTCTGTTCTGGTCACCACAATTAATTCCCATTTCTTAGTCTTGTATTCACCTTCACCTCATTAAGTTTTGGCCAGTCTCCACTACTGTTTCAGCTTAGCATTTCACAATTTATCTCATCACTGTTTTAAGACCTTTTTTGTCCATCCTTGGTTTTGTAGGGTTGAAGAACAGTTTCTCATTGCACCTTACAAAAGAATGGGCAAATATTTTGCTGTTGTCAGTTAGCTGCCAGGATAGCTTCTCCCTCTCCCACCAGTGATTTTTCTTCACAGGTTGGTCTGGGAGCACAAAACTATCTGAAGTGTATAGCAGCACCATCAAACACTTCTTTCCCCTGTAGGCTTAAGAGCTGTTTTATGAGCAAGGATGCATGAGAAGAGAAACTGTCTAATGAAGCCCAAATCTCAGATGGAAGTTCCGAGCTCCAAGGGGTTATTTTAAGGAATATTGCAATTAGTATCTCACATGAGGGTGTTTTCAGCTTCCTGGGCAGAGCCAGGAGGCACTGACTGATGGCTCTTCCCTAAAAGACAAGAAATACGGCCTCTTCATATGGATTTTCTCTCTTGGTCCTTTGTTTCTCTGCAGATTTGTGGCCTCACTGAAATCCCTACTGGTAAATTGTTGTGTAATCAGTCATACTTCAGCTGTTTGGTCATTGTACAAGCATGCCTTAATCTGAGTTAATCTTAATTCTTTGAAGTGGATCTTTGTAAAATTTGGAAACGAACATTTAGGTTTTCTCTGTGGGTAAGTAAAAGGAAGTTTGTGCCGCTTGGAGTTTCCAGTCCAAGTCTATCCTAATGGCAGATGACAGTGAATAGATAAAGTATCATAAGATTGCAGATAAACGTTTTAAAAATCATCTAGTTGTAGGATTGATCTTGTTTGGGCCAAATTCATTCATGTGTGATGGTGGAGTTGTATCACTTGGAACTAAGCTCAAATGAAACCTTAATACTGATCCCTGACTACTTTGAAATCCTTATTACTAGTGCCTGGTTTTACTTTACAATCATCATGTTAAATCCTGGGCAAAACAGGGAAAGACAACCATTCAATACAGACTTCATATTTATTGAAAGAAAATCTCCTGGGTTTGGCTGGGATAGATTTCACTTTCTTCCTAGTAGCTGGTGCAGTGCTATGGTTTGGATTTAGTATGAGAATAATGTTGATAACACACTGATGCTTTCGCTGTTGTGGAGCAGGGATTACCCTAAGTGAAGGGTTTTTTCAGTTTCCCATGCTCTGCCAGGGAGCAGGTGCACAAGAAGCTGGGAGAGAGAATGGTCCGGACAGCTGACCCCAGCTGGTGAAAGGGATATTCCGTACCACAGAACATCATGCTCAGTATATAAACTGGGTACAGTTGGCCAGGAGGGCATGATCGCTGCTCGGGAACAGGCTTGTCATTAGTCAGTGGGTGGTGAGAAATTGCATTGTGCTTCACTTGTCTGTCTTGGCTTTTATTCCTCCCTCTCTCTTTCTCATTTTCATTATGATTACTATCATTATTATAAATTAATTCAATTATTAAACTGTTCTTATCTTAACCCATCAGTTTTACCTTTTTCCTCTTCTCCTCCCAATCCCATTGGAGGTACAAGGGAGTGAATAAGCAGCTGTGTTGTACTTTGTTGCTAGCTGGAGTTAAACCATGACAGAAAAGAACTAGAATAAACACAGAATGGGTTCAGGAATACAAATGCTCCACATCTTTCTATCAACCAGTTGGTGTTGCAAAGTGATTTAAAAAAAAAATAAATCTTAGGATGAAGTTGCATGAAATGCCTAGTGCTTGAATTTGAAATGTTAGCTATTTGAAGGAAGTCATTATTTGAAGCAGACACTGGTATCTAATTAGTTAACTGTGAAGGCAAAGCAGGCAATATACCAGTTGATGTAATTGGTGGCAGTGGGAGTTTGGAAATAAATATCTCTATTTGGCACTGAGAAGTGAAACAGAGCTCAAATTTCTGTGGATTGCCTGGCCCCAAGTTCGTTGCCTCAGAGCTCACATTTCTGTGGTAAAATTAAATCTCAAAGTTTAAGATCTGGGATTCACTGTGGCTGTTTATTAAAATTCATATGACCTCCCTAGGTTGTGAACATTTCGAGTTGACTTAGATGGAGCTCTTGATAAAATCAAACTGTGATGGGGCATTTCCATAAAAGCTTAGTAGAATTGTGCTAACAAAAATGGAGACACTTTAAAGCAGTGATTATCATCCTATCTAGAAACCAGAAACACAGTGGCATGTGAAAACAAAGAACAAACAGAAATCCCAAACCTCAAGAAACCTCATCTGAGCAGAACATGGAGAAAAGCCATTCATGGTGATTTATAATGCCTTTTGTACTGGCTTCACTCACACTGCCTCTTTAAAGATGCTGCATTCATGGCTGCGGCTGCACGAGGCTACTGACAGAGCCAGTGGAGAAGTGAGGCAGAAGGCAGCTCAGCTCCCTTCTGCCCATTGCTGGTCTGTGCAGGAGTCCTGTCCTTAGTGGCAACAATGCAGACAGGCATCGGTTGTTAAATGAGATTACTCCAGTATTAATGCATTCAAACTGATTGTCTGCTTCTACCTATGACTGTCCCACTCTGTGTGTGTGTGTGTGTGTGTGTGTGTGTGTGCGCGCGCGCATTTTTAGGGTTGGTAGTCCCTTTGAAACAAGATTGCAGTTTCTCAATATCAAACCAAAGTCAGCATAACAGATGGTACTAGAGTTGGCTTTCCTGAGTCTATTCTGTGCATTGCTAAAAAGGCTTGTTTGTCCTGTGCGCCCTACGATGCCCTGGAGGTATCAGCATTTTGTCATTTGACTTAGTTCCCATCTTTGCTTTTCTACTCAGAGATTCTGACCACTATCCTTATGCCACCTCTATCAGTTGAAAGTGTTGTTTTTTAGGCTGAGCAGAGATTTCTGGTTCCAGCTCAGATTAGCTTCAGAAGCTCCATATCTGCTGTCTCATGGGCAACATCTACATGCGCTCATAAACCTGTCAACAGAACTCTGCGTGAGTAACCTCAACAGTGGACATACAACAGCACACCCAAACAGAGCCCCTGAATTAAAATGGTAGCCTCCTGCATTACTACTGGAGGTTTACACTACAGACTGTATACTTAGCACTACCTTTTCATCTTAAAATGTTGCTTTGTATCACAAGTGACAGCAAGGAGAAAGTAACACTGCCCTTCCTATTCAGCAAGTATACTCTTGTGTTCTTGGGCAGAATTGTTCATGTCTGTTCCTAAGGAAATGCAGTTCAGTCCATCTGGTCTGGGGTAGCAACTGAATTGCTGTGCAGACCGTACTATTATAGAACGGGTCTAGCTTAAAGAAAGGTTTGCTTATGAGATGATGAGCAAGCTGGAAAATCTCTCTGCTGCTAACTTGATAAAGAGAAAAGAAAAAGTAAATGATTATCAATAAAGTGTGCTTAATTAGGTGTCACTGAGAGAAAGAAAATGCCATTTCATGTCACCTTTTTAGAAAGCACAAGGCGTGTAACTTTTGGGGATCATTTTGCTCTTGACTAATCTTCAGATTCAATATTAAAATCTCAAACTTCCCAAAGGAAAGAGATTCTGCATCTTTTAATGAAAGATAAAACAACAATATAAACATACACAAATTTACAGAGAAAGGATCAACTTTAATACATCTGGAGTAAAAGGTGTTCTTTTTTAAATATGGTATAAAAATAAATGCAAGAAACATTAACAGAGAATATACAGACAACAGACAAAGACACAGGCTTTCTTTCTCAATGTGAATACATCAGTGAAATGAAACCTTCTGTGCTAATTTATTGTGCAATAAATGTGATGCCATATGTATATTTATTAATATATGCATTTTTACATTTCTTCCAGTTTTTGATTGACGTATTTTTTTAAATAAACTGTGCCTAGCAGAAGCTTTTTTTTCACTGTACTTGAGCTTGCAGAAAATAAAAAGACACAGATCCAGCTTGATATGAAGGAGGAAGTGAGCAGACAGTTTTCGAAATGGAGGCATCGAAAGGCTAGAGAGTCCCTCGGAGTCTGTAATGCCTTAGTATACACAAAAGAAAACAAGTCAGGTCCTTGCTCATGCAACATCTTGTTCTACTGTCCTCTGAGTCAGGCAATCAGTGAGCTACAAAGTATGTATAATGATTTGAGTCTGCTTCCATGCTACAAGGTGATCCTTTTAGTAGGACTGCACTAGACTGGTTAACCTCTTTGATGTGAGCGATTTCCCCTGAGGAAAAGATAAAAACAAAAAACAAAAACAGAAAACAGAGGCATGATCACTGCAAACCTGTTCATCAGCAACCACTCAGTGTTGCCACATCACTCTCAAGTAACTAGGGGCACCAACTGGAGCCTGTGAAATCTTAAACCACAGGAAGTCCTTACGCTTAAACACCTGCACTGCCAGCCGGCCAGATTGTTTCACAGAACAAGCCAGCAAATTTAAAGACCATTTTTGAATGAGATTGGTTTTGGCTGATGAGAAACTGACGCTGAGGTTTTTGCTGTCAATCGTACCCAGAACGTGAAGAAGGCTACTGCAAGCAAGAGTGCCTTGTGCTGCAAAGATGAATGTGCAAACTGCAGTAGCTCTGTCAAAGAAGACAAAAAGCTACTTTCAAGTTAAGGTAAGAAAGTAAGAGGCAAATTGCATATAGGCAGGAAAGCAGGTTTTTCATGAACACAGCCATAGGCTTGTTGAGACCACATTTACTATTTATAAGAAACATTGGTCAGGTATATTACATGTGACTGCATAACGCTTCTTTGAAGGTCTTTGCATTTCCATATTATTGTTTTTCTCATAATTTCTCCTGTTGCAAGAATGTGGTTTCAATTTTTTAGCAAGTTCTTTTAATAAGGTGTCATGACAGTCCCACAAGAGCTAGGTCTACAGTGTGAAGAGGATGATATGTCACCATGGTATATTTCAAGCAGATTTGAGCTTTATCTGAGCCAGACAGGAACCACAGAACAGGAATTAGCTCTCCTACGGCCACATAGAAGGAGTTAGCTCTCTGAGGGCCATCCTACCGTGGCTCTGATCCAACAGAGGCAGAGCTGGCACAGCAAGCTGACATCATTCCTCAAAATATCACAGGCATACCCTGATAATGTAACACAAATATATAATAAAAAATTAAATAGAAAATGGCTCTAACTTGCCAGTTAGATATTTAATACTTACATTTATTGTATTGTTCATTTTAAGTGCCCAACTCCAAAATATCAAACTGATTTCAAGGAGAATACATTAGGAAATACTGTAACTATGGAGAGATACTTCATTTTCTGCAGTAAATGCTAAATGAACTTCTTCCGCTATATCAATAAATTGTTGCCATCTGCAGTATTATAACTCAGTGGAATTACACAATGTAATATCTATTGTCATTATCAATTAAATTTATGCTCACAGGGATCTGTAAGTTGGTTTTGAGCATTTGCTCAGATGCAATATATCAGAGTGGTCTTCATAAAAGGAAGAATAACTATTTTATTCTTTGTGCTCTGAAATACAAGTTGAACAAATTAGGATGAATACTTCCCCTACAATGTAACTTGGAAGGGAACTCGTTTGCAATGTTGGGTTAGGCTGCTCATCCATCAGGTTCACCATATCAGCTGACAGTATTAATACTTGCTTTGTCAAAAGATGGAAAGTGTCCTTCCTGGCACACTGTATTCCCTGTATCTGTCACTTTCTACCTGTATTAAATTCACAGCTTCTTGACACTTGTTAACCCTTAAATTATGTTTTCCTCTAATGCAACAGGAAAGCTGTTACCGTAAGACATCTTTTCTTTTTAAATAGTCAAAAAAACCTCAACAGCAGTGTAGCACTGGAATACAATTTAAAAGAGCATGTCCAAAATTAAGTGTTTTGTTAGACAATTCATGACTGACAGTCTCAGACATAATCTCAGAAAATATTGAACATATGCTTATCTTTGCCTTTCATTAAGTTATGTGCACTTAATTTTACAGGTCTACAGGTCTGGCTACCTTCTGTAAATATGTATGGGTTCCCTTTAATACTGAACTGCATAACCCACTTAATTAAAATATGAAAACCAGGAGTTCTGTATTAGCTATTAAAACAACTTTCTCAATACCACACTGGAAAGCTGCATAAGCTCTTGTTGTGGTATAAAATCTGTGAAATAATTTTTTATTATTATTTGCAACAATTATTTAGGAGTTTTAAAATTGATGGTATTTTTAAATTAACCATAATTCTAATATCTCAGGAATTAATTATGTTATCATATAAACTAGGAAGTTTTGACCTAAAGTCAGGCAAAAAAGTAGTTATTAGTTGATCTGATTTGTATAATCTTTTTCTACATGTTGTTTGAATTTTCCCCTAGAGACACAGTGAGTTGTCATGACAATTTTTGTCTGTATTCCACACCACTTGCTCCCAGGATATTGCTAGTTTTTGGATACCTTTTTCTCCTAACCCCTACAGTGATCAGGAATTCTCTAGGTGGTCCTCTCCTTCATGTCCCCCTCAGAGAATATTACACTTCTTATAGATACAAACTCTCCATCTGAACATCAACAACAACAACGTGTGGTCTTTTTCAAGGCATTAGTAGTTCTAATTTATCTTATAGTTGGAAAAGTGACAACTTAGAAGATAAACCCTCCTTAAGAGATCTTCTCCAATGTTTATACTGAATCATACTAAGTTCTCTGGTTAGGAAAATAAACTTTTAATACACAGAACCCACAGCAGCCTCAAATACAGAATTATCACATCTTATTAGAGCTGCAGGGACTTGTTATTTTCCACCTTACAGAATATTTCAAGTATACTTTTATTTTACCTCTTGAAGCTAGTGTTTCATAATTATCACTTCTAGGAGATTTCCAGATTTACTCAATTTACAGTCTGATGTAAGGATCATCTATCGTGGCTCATAATTTAAGAACTGAGTCTAGATACTTCTTTGAGATACAATGTTAACAGCATTTCCATAAGCCAAATTTTGATTTGGGAACCTGTATCTAACAGTCCAGTTTTCAGAGGTGTAGCATATGAGTCATCACACATAGGAAGATGTTTCCTGTGCTAATGAGATTAAAGAACAACTGGGGAAAAAAAGTCAGAAGAAGCAGTAGGTGTTTGTCCGAATAATGAAAAGGAGAACCTTAATATTTTCAATATATTCTTGCCTTCAATATTTAGAAGTAAATGGCCAAATTCTAAACAGGATTAGGTTTTTTTGGCTGTATTAGTGCACTCTGGACATATGAATTGCAACTTTTTAAGAATTTTACTAATAATACACAATCTGAAATGAAACCCTGCACACATAATCTGACAAGGGAGTCAGAGTATGAGGAGGCAGCACAGCAGTTGGAGTGAACAAGTGAAAAAGTACATCCAAGAGTACTTAAAAGGTGCCTTAAAAAAGTACTTAAAAAGAGTACTAAAAGTACATCAATTGGCCTCAGTGTTCAGTCCCTTAGTGTATTAACTGTTTAAAATAGAGCTGTACTTCCAACTTTATCACTAGAGAATTTAGGGGGAAAATTACAAAGCCATGTGCAGGTGTATGAGCTGCTAAATACAATCGTGCTGACTGACCCATTTATGCAGTATGGCATTAACTCCTCAAGTAACCTGGCAAACAATCAGCAACAACCTCAATACATATCTGACTTATAAGAAAATGATATGACATGAAATGATATAGGGGCTGGAGTGCCTATATTTGATATAGATATATAGATAGAAGAAGAGCAAGTCTTTTCATTTTAGAAGATTAATTATCTTCCTTTCTGTTAAGCAATCTCAATGGTTACTTTTTCATGTTTCTTTATTGCCAGTGCAGATGCTACTCCCCAAGACCGATACTGGTAGAACTAAAAATGAAAACTCCATGTAATCTGATGGGGAAAGGGAAGGAGAGAGTGAACCCCACTGTGAGCACAATGAAATGTGGAGCAAGAATTGACCCTCCTTGCTTTCACAGTTCCCCATCTGCTTGTGTGAAACACCTGCAGCACACTGGCAGCTCATCCAGCATCAGTGGGGAAAGCTTCCAAGTGACATTGCAGTGCACTACACACAGAACTGGTGTATAAACTGCCCCTGACAGGAGCACAGCTGGAGAGACATGGGAATAGAAGCAGTAAGTCCTTTTCCAAATTTAGGGAGCCCTTGCTTCACTAGCACAGGGGAATTGCCTTAGCACTGCTCAGGGGATCAGAATTCTGCTTCAGTTTCCACAGGAGCACAGGATGCTGCTCTCAGCCACCTGTGCAGCTGTATTTTTCTTTCATATGTGAGGAAGGGAGGAGGTTAATATTTACTGAATTTGGGGCATGAGTTGTCAGCACAGCTGCAGCATTAAGTGGTTGCATGTGCAGGGAAATCCTTCCTCCTCTGGCTGGCATTTGCAGCTCTCTCTTCCCTACTCATTAGGGCCATACTCTTTCCTGCAATGATCTGAGGACAGGAGGCAGAAATTGAACAACTTTCCTGTTTTGGCTCATTCTAAATCCAGTGACACTCTCCACTTCTTTCTCCTTTTTTACTTATCTTTACATTTACTGATGAGTTGTTCTCACTTGTGATTGACCTACAAACTCTTGCCAAATGGGGTAGTTTGAAACTGAAGTGTGGGTTTCCAAGGGACTAATGCTTAAGACAAATATTTTTTGTATGTTTGTCCCGGGCCCAACCCCTCAGGTTTTCATATCTCTCTGCAGTTCTCACTCCTGCAAACAGCTTCATGGCTAGGCTTCGCGAACGAAGATTTAGGAAGGCTCTATCCACATTTGTTATAAGCACGCTGGTGGCTAATGAGGCCAATACGAGATAGTGCAAACAGCTTAAGAATCAGGTAAATGTTTGTCAGCTGGAAAATGGCAGACAATGGCCTAATACCTGACCAGTTGTTGCTGGCCCCTTACTTAGATGAACCTGTGCAAGTGCTACTCCTCAAGCTCCTCTGTTCCAGCACAACGCACAGCACCTCAGCTCCAGTCACAGCAGAACAGCAAAAGGAGGCCAGTCCTTACCGGCAGGTCCCTCATGATTTTCCACCCCGGGCATCATTCCTAAAAAAACCCCTAAAACTAGGGGGTTTTTGAGTAGCTAGTAGTTCAAACTAAAAATTTCAATTATTTTATTTGTCCTTTTTAGTCAAATATCAATAAGACATCTCTTTCCTGAAATGGAAAAAGCCTTCATTTCTACACATAGTTATTGTTTTCATTCTTGTTTTATATTGGTCAAATAAGTAGCTTTGTGGTTTATTTTTATTCTCACCAGATTTTTTTTTTGTTGTTTAAATTTTGGGAATAACACCTAAGTACATTCAAAATGAGATCCCTTAGCTGATACTGCATTGAAGTTCTTGGGCAATGCTATGCTTGAGAAAAACCTAGCCCTTCGCAGAATTTCAGGACTAGACTTTTGGACTGGAACAGTAGGGCCTTGTGTACATAAGTTTTATCTGTTCATAGAAAAATTTCTTGATTAACAGATGAAATTCATATATTATCTGCCTTGTTTCTCAATAAATGGACAGATTTTAACACAACAAGAGATTACACTCATTTAAGCATCTAGAAAGTCTATGACTCACTGATAATAACAGGGGAAGCTATTTTTATGAGTTTTAACTTCCATTTCTAGGCCATAATTCACTGTGTCATGTTAAGTGACATTGAACCGAGCCTCTGTGAAAATGTCAATGTGCTCTGTTCAATGGACTTGGCATTTCACATCACATGCATTAAATAGTCTGTTGTTACTCGTTCGGAGGGGGAAAAAATGAAAGGACTCTGGTCAGCAAGTTCTTCCAGGTAAGTGGAAGAAGACAACTGGAAAGGGTATGTGTAACATAAGATATAATGGGTTTAAACTCAGATTTATTAAATGGGGCCTTGTTTATGAGGTTATGAGTGGAGATATCTATAGTTTGATGGGTCTCTAGTTTAATATATGAACTAAGTTTGGTCTGTTTTGTATCTCCCCCCAGGCAGCTCTAAGGAGAGAGGCTACACCTTCTTGCCCCATTAACTTTGTTCCTGGTGGGACAATAAAATTTGGATGGAGTGGAAATTAAATTAGCCCACTCTCCTGTAAATCAGATCCCTTTGTTTCAAGGGTTCCAGACAGATAATCACAGCTAAGCACCAGGCTAGGGCTCACAAAGGTGTCCTGCTTAGTCTGCCTCTGTCACAAATCTTGCACACGTGAGACATTGTTCACGAAATTGTTCACAAAATTGTTCCTTAATTGTTCCTTAAAGGACCTCTTTGTTCCCATCAACATTACCAATGTATATTCCCCTGTAATGTAGATATTAGTACTTGAGGTGGAGCAAGTTTGCTGGGCTTTTTAATATCTTTTTTTTAATATATTTTTTTCTCCATGTGAATTCCTTGAAAGAATTTCAGTTTTTAAACGCCACAGAAACAGTTGATTTCTGTCTCTCTACTGATATAGCATGTGACGAGATCCTCCTGCTCCCTGACATAGACCTTTAGCTTCTCTTGGGGAGCTGCAGGTGACTGGACCTTTATTATTCTCAAAGAGGAAGCTGAGGGGCTGATCTAGATGGGGGGGAAAGCACAGTGCACACTGTCACTGCTCTCTGTGCCTCAGACTCAGAGCTGTGACACCTGTGGTTGCCAGTGTTACTCCAAGGCAATGCACTTATCTAATAGCTTCATTCCAGTAGTGCTGAAGTGTATGTGTTCTATATTTTCACACAATACCCAGGAGCATGAGTAAATGAGGCAAACCAAGAATAGCTGGGGTTACTACTCAGATGCAAAATATAAAGTGTTCAGTAGTAAAAATTACATATTGCAAATGCCAGTTTGCTATTACTTCTGTATGTTTATGTGAATGCAGTCCTGTTTCTAACACTATTCATACTGTTTGTTGCACTATGCTGAAGGCACTAGCAGTTTTGCACGATAAAATCCACAGAGCAAAATAAATAGTCAGTGTTTTTAAGCTGAGCATTTAGGGCTTTCCTGAAGTGCCCCAACTTATTGAAAGTTTTCTGAAAAAAAACCTCTTTAATGTCAAAGTGATACAGAACTGAGCCTAGTGTTTTTGTTTATATAGATCCACTTCTATTTTTTTCCCCATCAGACTAGAATAATGACTCATTATAATAGGTTATTTCCACATAATTAATGAAATAGTACAGCGTAATTGCCCTTACACAGTTTCTAAACTTTCTAGTTTAACAAATTCTTTCTGTAGCAAGTATAGCCCAATTTCAATTAACATTGATCAGGAGCCTCTTAAGAGTCACCATCTTAACAAATCAGGTTATGAATTACAAGGCCATCTTCTCAGATTGAGTCCCTAGACACAACCAAGGTTACTGGGTTTTTTTGAACATTTCAAATGGAAAAAACTGAGGTCTAATTTAGTTCAATCCAAATCCACTTTGATATAAGTGACAAAAAATCCAGTGAAAATTAATCTGAATATTGTAAACCATCAGAGAAGAGAAACTGTAAATTTCATCTCACTAAATCATTCAGAGATGACAGCATTTATCTAGGTTGTAGAAGACCTATTTCACACTATGCTCTGTAGAACAGATCTATTCTACAGTCCCTCGCTTCACAGTTGAGCAAGTTAATCGGTACACTGTAGGATATTCTGAGAAATGTTTCCCTCATTCCTGCTAGTTGGAACCACTGTACCAATGTAGATAATTACATATTATAAATTCATCACAGCCAAGAACAAGAGTGGAAGAACAAGGATGCCTTGTGGCAAGGGGTCCTGAGGAAGTGGGTAACATGAATTCAGTCATCTGCATAGATCTAACAGAGACATGTTTTTCTTTCATACCTGACCTGACTTCACAGACTAAAAGGCAGCAGCTTGAAAAAAAGCAAAACGACAGATTTTATTTTACAGATTGCTCTGTGAAAAAAAAAAAATGTCCCTCTTCTACCGAAGTACTAATACTTCAGGTCCAGAAATCCTCATTCTCATTTGTAGTTCACAGCTGGCTTATTGGGCCTGCTTTGCATTTCTGGCACCCTGCTATTCTGGTACTTCTGCCCTGAGATTAGCACAACGAAAATTGGGCATGGATGCAGGGCACAATGCTCCCCATGTTTGTGCCCAGAACTGCTGGTTTATCCATAACAGTGCTCTGGGAGTGATTTCAGTGTCTCCAGTCTGTCTTCACTTTTTCCCTCTTTGTGCTGTATTCTCCTCCCATCTATCTGCAGCTTGCCATTTCTCTCCTCATAGCCACCTGTTCACATAATCTTTGCCATAGCCAATTCCTGACCTGTGGGCTGTTCAAAATGCCTTGAATAAATGTAGCATTGCAGCTTGCCAGGCACTGTGACTGGGAAAAAGTCTGGCTCTCAGAGATCCCGGATGTATTATCCACTCTCTGCACTCTCTTTTATAGACTTTTTATTAATATGGAACTTCCTCCAGAATTATAGTGGAATTATCATGTATAATGTTATTATGTACAGTCTTGTTTTATAGATCCAACCTGCTGAGACAACACACAAATCACACTGCAACATGCTATGGCAACACCACCATGCAAAACACAGGGGTTTTTGTTTCAAACACTGGGATAGTTTCCTTTGTGGCTGTTTATTTACTTTTAGTGTCCTTTACTGACTTTGTCCCATTGAATCCAAATTTCTTCCTGATTACAGTGGATTCAAAGCATATTACAGGAATCCTTTACCTATAAGAAAGTAGTTAAAGAATTACTGTTTTGTTTTAAAATGTGAGATATTCCCACAACCTCACAAAACTTTGTTCTTTCACTATGTTTTTTTCTTTTTTTTGATTACTGGAAAGTATTTATGTATGTTTTTAAATACTTGAGGCAATACTCTTGAGCCCCATTACATAGGAGGCAGTTTTTGAGAACTGCTTCTTCTTCCCTAGAAACTAAAAAACAAAAACCATGATCTTTGCTGAAAGCTCTCATAATTTTCATTTCAATGCACACAGCTCCACTAACCAGGTCACAGAAAAAGCCACAGACACACACGCACACACACACAGCAGCGTCACCTACACAATTCAACAGACAATGCAGACAAACTTGAGTATAATCCAAGATCTTTCTACCTCTTTTCATAACAGGTTAGTGCTCGCCCTCAGTGTTGGTGTACAGTTTTTATGGCATGGGAAAATTGGGATGTTTCTGCCCTACAAAAATAAATGCGTTGAATTCTTTAGTTTGAACTTTCACAATGCAAAAAAAAATTAATTCCAAAGAAACTGGATAAGTAAAAAGAATCCCAAATATCAGGAAATCAGTGGATCTTTTGGCAGGTGGCAAAAGAATGCCCACACCAAACCTACCAGCCTCCTTTTTTTTTTTACCTTGAAGGAATAGCTTAAAAAAATTATATATTGAAAAGAAAAAATCAGTTCTTTTGATCCATTATGAAAATTAATCCAAATCAAACCCTCGCACATCAACAGCATGAATTCTTTGGTCCTGCAGAAGCTGTGTTAGACTTTAAGGAAGATGGGGAAATTATTATTGTTTATTTTTCCCTGTGCCCAATCAAAAAAAATGGGACAAAGTATTTTTTAGTAAAATAAAAAGAAGACAGGACGGAAATCCAATGTATTCAACTGTTTTAGACTCAGTTTTTTGAGAGGCACCAGAAAAAGAAACAACATCAAGCAGGTTTTCACAGATTCTTTACTAAAATTAAAGCAAAAAAAAAAAAGTGACTAATTTCATGCTTCCTAATGCAAAAAGCATGGCTCCCAAATGTCCATTCCTCCATGTGTGACTATTGAGATCATTGAGAAAGGGACTAGGAGGAGGAGTTGTAATGAAAGCACATTATAAAGCTGTCATTCCCAGGAAAAACTGTGATGAATACACTTTTAACTGTCAGGTTAGAGAAGCAAAAAGGGAAAGTAGGGATCAGTGAGGGGAAGGGGAGAAGGATGTCCCATCAGGCTTACTAGTCTTCCGAGGCAACAAACTTACCACATTGCGTGTGAATTTCTCAAAAGATGTTCGACGATCCAGAGTGTTTTCCAACTTAAATTTAAAATAAATAAAACAAAAGAAACAAAAAGAAAAAGGAGGGGAAAAAGAAAAGCAAGAAAAATGGAGTAGAAAAGAAGGATTGATGAAACAATGGACTGCAAAACAAAGTCTGTATAAATCAGGAAGCAAACACAGGTAATGAGGCTGTAATGGGACTTGGCAAAACAGGGGATGGGCAAAGCAGATACAGTACTAGACAAAAATAATTTTTCATGAGGATCAAACTTCATGGTTTGAATTTAAAGAAAAACTGAAAATAAAAAGAAATAATGAAGTGCACATCTTGTGTTAATGAACTGACATTCACAAACTTAAGGACTTCACACGGACAGTTGAAGCTTTCTGGTTTTTTCAACATCTCTCTCTATATTGGATCTTCAGAAATCAATGTTTGAACAAAAAACAAAATCACACAATACTTTCATATAATTTTAGGTTGTCATTGTAAACAATAGAATCCCACGGTATTAATAACTACCTTGTTCCGGTAACAATCAGGGCCCTGATTTTGCAAGGCACAGGGCTCCCAGCTGATTTTAGGAGATTACTATTTAAAGCCCACTGATAAAATTATTTATCATTATAGAAATCTGCAATGCACAAGATGCTCCACATACTCTGGGCTGTGGCTATTCAGAACTCATTCCATAATCTGAACTTTTCTAAGTAAATATTACATACCAAGACATGAGCTTCTGTTTGCCGAAGTGTGACATGATCAGTCTTTCAAGTCAGATTCCTAGCCTACTCAAAACTATTCATGTAATAATAGGGAAAGAAACAAAATTAGGAAGCCCCTATATTTATAGTTGAAATTAGAAGTAATCCATAAGAATAAGATTGTTTCTAAACACATTCTGTAGCTTTTATAGATGGAATAAAGAGAACAACAACTATTACATAAGCAAACTTGCAAACATGAAAGACTATTCTTCTGGGATTTTATTTTATTTTTTTTAATGTATTTGTAAAGCACTTTGCAATTAAGGTGCTTCATAACAGAGAAAACAGTACAATATGGGATGTAAAAATAAAAATAAGTTTTGCTAGATTAACTTATTGAAACATGCCCGCATGCAGGATATATACACATATATGTATATTGAACTCCTGTGTGTATGTGACCCTCCAAACACGCCAAGCTGGTCACCTACCAGATATCCAGTTGCACTGGCACAGGGGAGAGAAGACTGAGTATTGTTGCAAACATAACCACTGCTTTGCACAGTGGCAAGACAAAGGCAAGATGGACCAATACCTTTTTCTTGGCCTGTAGCAGCTCCTGGTAGGCACTGGATCGTATAAAACGAGGATAAGAATCACTTTTCATCAGTTTGTAAATGTGCTCCTGAAAAGGAAAGGAGGAGCTATTATTCCCATGAAAGAAGACATATAAAATGGGAGACAGTCATACGTTTTGGTTGTGGAATGTATACCAGCTAACACTATTATGAATAGGAAGTATTATGGGACATCAGGTTTCACTTCTGAAGCTAAGGCTGAATTGCTTTCTATTCTGAAAGCAGAAATTCATCCCATTTGTTATGTATAAATTACACAGCACACCTTTCTTTAATTTATAGACCTAATTTCCACTGCAAAATTATTTTATAAGAATTTACAACTGAGCCCTAACTTAAGGCCCAATTTCAAACCTTCCTTACATTAGTCAGTTTAGCTAAATGACTAAATTAGGAGCTATGGATCCTTCCTCATCAGATTTTCTGAATTAGTTTGTGGACATTGTCTTGTGACTTCACAGGCAGGACGACAAACTCAATTCAGCATCATAATTAAGTGCTTAAGTTAGCGAGGATATCCCCTGGCTACTCTTGAAAATATCCTTTGACAGACATTTAGTCTGCTTCCCAGATAACAATATAAAAAGGAAAATACATATGTAAATTAAAAAACAGTTCGAGGCTAATCTATTTTTCGAGATGTTCATTCTTCAGAAGGGTATGAAAATTTGAAAATCTTTATGCAGAAAACAAATGACAAAGGCAGCTTATAGTTTTTCATTTTGAAGCATTCTCATTTCTGAAAAAGATTAAAACCAAAAAATCTATGATGTAGGACACTTGATAATTCTAGTTCTAGTATATATTAGGAAAAGATTTGTAGAAAAACAATCAGAATAGGAAGTGCTCTCAAAATAATTTTTAAAAATCCACTGAATTGTGCTGGCTATTTTTGTGGAGCTTTTCTTTTACTTAAACTCTATTTTTTATTATAGAAAACCCATAGCAAAGCAATTGGGAAACAACAAAGAAACTGTAAAGTAAATATTATTTCTAGGCTTGGTAGTGCATAAAATTAGTGAATACAAAAAAACCCCAAAACCAACCAACCAAACAAAAAAAAAACCAAACCAAACCAAAAACCAACAACAAAAATCAAAAAAAACCCCAAAACCAAACCAACCAAACAAACAAACCTCCCATCTTCTTTGAAAATTACTTTTTGCTGCATTAGAAACTCTAGAAATGATTCTAAGTGTCTTTCATTGGATTTCTTACACTAAGCAGAGAAATTCTAGTATATATTCACAACTTAGGCTGGTTTATTTAGGGAGTTTTTATTCCACTCCCTATGGAAGCAAACGGTGCATTCAACAGAGAGCAGAAAGTGGTGATAAGCATTAAAATGTTATTTCTGTACAAGGAACAGCCCTGTAAAAGCAAGAATAAATTAGGCTTAGTACTGTTAGTGGACACCTTAGTCAGGAATTGAGGCTGCTTGTTAGTTAACACAATCAGACTATTTTTACTTATGTATCTCTCTCATTTGACATGGAGCTTTATTGTTCCATATTTCAAGTCCAGAAATGCTTTTCATACATTTTTAACCACAATTAAGTGATCTTCTGGCTGCCAGAATGACATACAAGTGGCCTCTTTTCCAGCTGGCAGGCCACAAAGAGCCTGTTGCAGAGGCAGAGCTGTATCCTGACAAAACCCTGCCACCTCAGGTGGGACACTCTGTAGAGGTCCTAAAGCTTCAAGTGAGAACATGACAGGTGCAGCCTGCCCCCTTTTCCAAGATAAATGGCTTCCAGGTTCAAGTTTTGTTTGCTGAACTGGAGGAACTAAGCAGACATCTGACAGGAGGAAAAGTCCTGCTTACATAAAGACTTGATACTTCACAGCTTTCATAAATGAAGGAAAAAATTATAAGAAGAGAGATCTGGAAGTTGGTGCTGAAATTTTACACCTATTTAAAAAAATAAATTGGATACTGGAAAGGAATTTAATTGTCCTTTAGTGATTCAGCTGCAAAGACTTTTTTTAAGCCTTTAATCTTGCTAGATTATTTGTGTAATTTATGTCTTCTCTATATGCTGCATTCATAAATCTCCAGGGGTTCGCAAATGCAAGCAAAAATTGTGTGTTTGCTTTAATGCACAATACTTCAAAACAGTGGGTATGACACAGAGTCTAATGAAAATTTTATTGTTTCTTCATAGGTTTCTATCCTCATAATGGAAAAGTGAAAATGTGGTAGAATTATTCTCCCTCTATTTAGGGCAGAGGCATGCTCCTGAAAAGTAGAAAGCCTCAATTTAATTCCCTTCTCTCCTTTGTGGGGCCTGTAGCAGCATCTCCTGACTCCCGAGAGGATGACCTAATAATCAAGCTGTAGGAAATTCTGCAGGGATGTGATTTCAATCTCTCCTTTTGACACCATTTCACTTTGCATTAATAATTAAATTTTCATCACTGGACTGCTGACAAAAATGGAGGATGATACCAGTTCTGCTACTTTTACTGTGAATCCAATTCTTTTCTATTGCTTTTCTCAGAAGTCTGCAAAGATGAAATATTAAGTTATAAGTTCACATGAAGTATTGCATTTAATACAGAAGTACTTCATTTTTTCTTCACTATATGTTTTGCTCTATTTGAAGTCCACTTGAAGACTCTATAACAAGCACAGAAGTTTCGTGAAGAACTTCATATGCCTCATGAAAGAAAGAATGTTACCCATTTGCATCGCCAAAATGACACCGTAGGAAACAGGATGTTATCATTTCATTCCAAATATATCTCTTTTTTTTTTTAATATAGAAATACTTCACTAGCCAATACTCTATTTCAAAGTTCCCTAAACAGGATTGCAAACTGACCTGAGCATCCTCAAATGTATATCTTCCAGGGTCCTTCACATTCTGAGTGGTTTTGTCATAACTTTTTGAATCTAGATTGATAGCGCTGGGTGCACCCGGAGCAAGAAATTCTTGCCAGATTTCTTGGACGCGAGCAGGGACTTCACGGATAGGCCTCTTCTTCAGGTCTTCTACTGCTAACCAGAACCTATGGCACAATACAACATCTTCACTTCCATTTCAGGAAAATCATTAATGAAGTGCTCACATTCTTCCTTGCTCGTAAAAAAGGAAATTAAGTAACTGAAGTTTTAATCTAAAACATGCTAAACCAAGAAAAAGCTGTGTTTTTGTGTTGGGATCAGCATTCTGTCTCAAGGCAACCAATCCACCTTAGCAAGCAATTATTAGAAGACTCTTTGTGAGATGGATAGGAAATCCTTTATTACTTACGTATGGGTAACTTGCTTCCAAGAAGATTTCCATTTAACTGGAATTAAACTGAGACTTCATTTTGGCTGAACCACAAGGGCTTATACTGCTTATAAACTGATTGCTTTTTGACATTCCTTCAAAAACTAATAACTTATATTCTTGACATCTACATGAATCTCTGAGTCCTACTAAATTCTAAACCGTACAACTAATTTTGTTACCCACTAATCATGCATGAACTGGAAAAGCATTTGTTTTGCTCATTATAATTTAATTTCTTTCTTTAGCATTGCATTTCTATGCATATTTTTGCTAAAAATGCTGAATGGAAGCACATATTCTCTTTTCTTTTCTGCTGCTGAGCAAACCAACATTGGGCAACTACATACAGTGCAGGCCGATTCGTTGTATCCTTCTCATTCAGTCTGGAGAAGGAAACTAAAAAGGTCTTGAGCACTTTGTGATCATAGCTAGCTAGGTATAACCTTTATTTCATTATTTCTTCTATGGGTGTTCAGGCTCTCTCACTGCACAAAATAATTCTAAATGCATTCAGTAACCCATGCTTAGGCATGGTGCAGACCAGTTAGTTCTCCCCCAAAGCTAAGAACTCAATGAAATTTTGACTTTGTTAAACATGCAGTATATACCATCACAACTTCTCATTATTGTTCTGACACAGTTGATCCTAGGAAACAGATAAGCTGAACCTTGAAGTGATTTATCTGTGAAATCAGTCGGATTTTACAAGGCTTACAAATAAATTGGGTGCACCTTTAAAATGCAGTTCCACCCTGGTCACACAGTGAGATCAAACTGAGCTCTTTCAGCTGAGTTCAACAGGGATGGGATAGGAGAGGAATAGTGAAACTGTACTCAGACCCCACAAGGAAGTAAAATGACACCACTCTCAATTGAAATTCTAATACAGTTATTTCAACAGCTCTGAAAAGGGGATAGTAAAGCGTAGAAAACATTACAGTATTCCTACCATAAGACATTCTTCAATTGAGATAATTTACCTTTCAGGAAGCAATTATTCCTTCATAGTCCTGTTTTGAAACATCTTTGTAGCACAGGTGGAAGGAGCCCTTTCTTATTTCTCACAAGCCATTATGTTCAGCTTTACTCTACCGAGATGACTATTTCAGGTATTTCTATACTCTTCAATTTTTTCATCTAAGACTCTCCAAGAGAGAGAAGCAATATTGTCCCAGTTTTGCAAACATATTAATAATGTAATAATATAAAGTGGTTTCTCCAAGGTCACAAAGGGAGTCTTTTGCCAATAAAAGAACTCCACTTTCAAAAATTGGGTGTAGCATCACTTATATATGTGAACTGCAATGTGAATTGAACACAGTCCGCATAGAGCCTGGGGAGATCAGGAGAATCTGATGGCAATGCAGTAAGAATAGAGGCCTCATAACTCAAGTTTAAAAACTGCATAGCTCACAAACTCTAATTCAGTTCACTCTGTCAAATTTGGGCAACCTACTTTGGCTTCCTTAAGCTGCTTTCGATATTTGCATTTAAAAGCATATATCCTGCAGTGCTAACCCCTTCAAGTGCATCTTCTGGGACTGACTGATTACTTATGTGTCTTGAAGTCAGGTAAAAAACAGAAAAATGAAAGGGAAGGATGCTCTTTGTAAATACACATTTTCTACTACCCTGCAGACATCCTGAGGATCTAGCTCAAAGATGTCACTTCCTTGTTTGTTCCATTGCATCAATGTCAATACTTCTGGAAGTCACCATAAACGTGCCTTAGGATGCTATTTTTCTTTGCAAGTAAGCTGTTTCCATATAGTAGGTTACACTCAATAATGGGGAAATAGATGGGAGATAAATTTAAATAAATTTAACTTCTTTGCTTCCAGCATAGAATAGACAGGTTGTATAGACATATCCTTACAGGGTGAACACCAGTTCTTTGATAGATTAATTTTATTTTACCCTTTTAACAAGGGCATTCAAAGACCCTATTAAAAATGTTAGGTTTTAAATATACACACCTCTCTAAAAGTGGGAAGAAAATGCTGATTTCTCTGTTGTGTTATGTCTAGGGTGCTTACTTCACAGTCAACACACATTTTAAGATTTTAATCTACTTACTGATCTTTTAAGAAAAGATGCCTGTCTTCCTCCCAAAGAGAGTTTAATTCAATTATTCAAAGTTAGAAGATGTCAAAAATAAGGTTGCCCCCTCTTGCATTTTCAAAAATAACTTTTCCAAATATCTCATGGCCTTCACAGATGAAGTTGACATGGAGTCTACAAAACCTCAGCTCAGGGCCTCAAACCAAAAGAGCTCCCTGTCCCTTTTTATAGCTCATAGCCTCATGAGCTGTGACCAGAGCAAGGGATGACTCCTGTACAAACAGCACACAGTCTACAACAATTATTATGTGTGAGGGCAGGACACAGCAGAGGGGGAACTGCATTTTCTGGACAATAACTTAGTGCCACTTTGTGTAAGGAACTAGAGCTCAGTATGGCTGCCCTCGGATGAAACTGTATCTCCTGTTGGTGGAGCTTTGCTTTTGCCCTGGAGACCTTTTATAGAAGATGCTCAGTACTGTTGGAACAGAGACCTGACTAGCTGGGTGTAAACCTCGCTCCTGTTTTCTATCCCAGCATTTGGGCTGCCACACACTGGGGCACAAACCAGACATACAGCTAAATGAGAGTGTATGGTAGTACGGTAGTAGTAGTTCCAGCCATATGAACTGGTAAGACACATGTTGCATGGTATCTGAGGATTATGTCCTCCAACTGGATTACTTTTAAAGTGACGGTGGCCTTGCAGGTAAATTGCACAGCTACAACACCACTTCTGTCCCATTAACTGACCTAAATGTCAGGTGCAGCCAACAGCAGATCCCAGATCAAACCAATCAGTTAAATTTAGCAGATAGGGACACAGAGTGAGAGAAAGGCTACAGTGATTCTCCATGAAATGTGTGAGATATAGTCAGAGTGTGGTAACAGTAAAGTGGGAATTACATGATCTTTGTACCCAGTACATGTGACACAACAGGTCGGAGGACAGACACTTCAGCATTTTCAGCAAAAGAAAAAGAAAATAAAACCTTAACAAACTCTATGAAGAAAATCACCTAATATTTTTCCAGTGGCAGGAAACACTACTCCCTCATTCCTAGAGTCCACCTTCTTGCCAAGTACAACTTCAAGCTTCAAGACATAGTAGAGCTGAAGGACTTCAAGAAAATGACACAGAATAATCATTAAATCTTGCAACTAGTTCCTTCTCATCTAATCTGCAGAAATGGCAACATTGCTGGGACTTGGCATTTAAGCTTGAGTCTGAACGAGAAATAACACACAGGCAATTTCAGCTTTGAAACAGAGCCTCGTAATCACCAGTGGGAAAGATAAAAATCACCAGTGCCCATACTGTGTGGGAAAGTGTCATCACCAGCACTTCTGTTCAGACTTGCAGGACAGACATCAAGGACAGTTAATCAATTTTCATTCATACTTCGTAACATGCAGAACTCACTCCTCCACCATCAGTGGAGAGAAATTTGCATTTGAAGTCATAAAGAGCAGTGATCAGTAATAAGGAGCAAAAAAAATGAAACAGATTGGCTTAAAAAGAAGACTTAACCTCTTCCAGCATTCTCCCTTTTCCCTAGTAAAAGTACTGTAATGGTATGTTAAAAGAACAACCAGAACCACTGCAGTAAGTGAAAATAAAGCCCTACAACCAGAACAATTTTTAGGCAACATTGCAAATTTTTAGTAGTGTATGTGTGGGTTTTTATTTATTTTTTCTATAGAACATAACTGAACCCCCTATCTCCAGTACAGAACATTTCTACAACAAGTTAATTGAATGAGTCCAAAATAAACATCTCACAAAATCTCAGCTTGCAGGGGGATGGTCAGAGAAAATTTATTGAGGGAAAACATCTAAATCTAGCTAACTCCTCAGTCCCTCTCTTTTTTTTCTGGACAATGAGAATGCAAAGTCCCTTTTCCCTATTTAGTCACACATTATGGCAGCTAATAAATGAGGAAGGGGCAAGGGGTCTGGTGGCTTTTCCTTCTGTGCATTATGGAAGATATCTTGTCACCACTCTCCCTTCACTAACCTAGGAGGTTTTTGCAGTCTTAGTGCTGCCTTGGAGATCACACCCACTGCAATACTACAAAATGATCTGGACAGGTTGGTAGGCCTGAAACAATTTAGATTGTTTGTGTTTTTTTTTTAAAAAGGCTGCAATTTTTACAAAATAACCACTTGGGAGAAATGTACAGTCAGTATACAAATATTAACTTTCCAAAGAATTCTGCTGCATTACAGGCAAAGGAAGGATAAGGAGAGGAATACAATTTCCCACAGGGATGAAACAAATTAGGTCTCCAGGTGTCATGTTTCAGAAAAATCGATTTCAGTACCTCACTCTGTTTGGAAGTCCTTTTCTTAGTGCTCAGACAGCCCTGTGACTCATGACCCAGTAGTACTGGATCATGCTCAAACTTTAGTCTTTTGAACCTTAAACAATGGTCACCATTTTTGTAATAGGCAGTGAGAATTTCATAAATCTATTATCCAAATCATATGTTACTTTAGCTATTTGTGCTGTGTATTGAGCAGCACACAAAGCAATTCTTCAAAAAAATCTGCATAGTAACAAGAGATCACAAGTCATAGCCTGCAGAATCCAATCTGGGTGTTAGCAAATTACAGTCTGCATTGAAGTTGCTGCACTGACAGAACTGCTCACGCAGTTGCTATGCTTTACAACACTCCTTTAGAGAGCAAAATACTGTTAATCCCAATTTACAGACAAAGAAACAAGCACAGAGATACAAAATAAAGTGAAACCTGGCTGTATTCCTAATCATTGCATAATTCTTAGTTTTAACTCACAGCTCGAGTTTTTTCATCCCTGTTCTGTTTCTTAAGATAGGATCTATATCCAGTAAGAACAAGATTCTCAGACAGTTTAGACACTCTCAGTCCAAGTTAATGAAACTAACACTGGGACTTTTAGCTATCTAAGACCAACACCCTTGAATGGAAATGGTGTATCTGGTAGACCTATCACTTCACATTTTTTGTATTTCTTTCACCAAAATGAGGTATAAGACACCTAATCTACTAATACTGAAGCTCCTGTTGTGTCTGCAGTCTCCACTGCATCCTGTGTACTGTGCTCAGAAGCTTGAATCCAGGGTCCCAGCTGTCTATCCAACTGTAGGTTTGACACTGTTTGTTGTAAATTTTATCATGATCAGATCTGTAAAAGGACAAGAGCCAGCTACTGATTTTAGTTCAATTAGTTGCAGGGGGAAGATGTGGGTGGAAATAAATATTTTTCTCAAGGTGGCTGTCAAAAAAATAATAATAATTAAAAAAATACCATTCAGAAAAACCCCAAATTGCCATGATGGAGTTAACAGGAGAGCAAGGAAAGTGGTGGTCTTCTAAGGTTTATTCAGTGTAATGCTTGAAACCATCAAGCTTTTAATTTCTGTTATTGAGATCTAAAACATTTTGACAGCCATTACACAACAAGTTTTAAAAACTCAACTTTACTATGTGAGCCTGATGGTGGATTGATTTTACTACAGTTTGAGAACTTACAAACATAATTCTGAGCTTGTGAGACAGTTTTCCTTCAGTTAATTGTCACAGAAAGCACCTTTTCAGAGCAAATTTTAGCCCCTGTTTAGCCTTTAAGCTCACCATTACTCTGATATTATATTTTAGAATCTAGAGGGAGAGACAGAAGAGTAGATGGCCTGTCAAAGAATCAGCTCTGAACAAATTTCTTTAGGGATTTTTTCTGGATCAGTCACTTGCAGTTTGCCCGTGGTTAGTGTTGTAAATAGGATTAGACGAAAGAGTTAGGGATTATGCGGGTAACAGTCTAGTTGGCAGAGAGACAAATTAATCACAGAAAAGCACCAGAAACTGCAGCACACACTGGGCTCAATAGGTTCATGTTTGAACAGCTGCTCTGCATAACAAATTACCAGGATACTCTTTAAATAAAAAAAAAAAAATTACCTTTTGTTTTCTTGGTATTATTCTGATTTTTAAAAAATCATTTTACCTGGTGGATTTTTTATTTAAAAAAAATAAATCTGTGTATCCGTGACTAATGAAGTCATCAACATACATATACAGGTCAGGCCATATTTGTGATGCAAAATTAATGTTTGAATACAAACATGGTCAGCAACTTAGAGAACTCCATCTTTAATTATTCTGCTGACAAATTTAAATTAACAACAAGGAGATCTGTGCAAATACTCAGCATTTACAAATCAACACTAGAAATGTTAAATGCCTCCTTGTAAGATGCTACAAAGGTGTAATTCTAGTATGAATGGCTATGCTGCACCACTTTAGAGTGAGAACTGGCAAAGAAAAAATGTGGGTTAGGATTATTCTGAGTTTTAGAATGTAAATGCAAAGAAGATTTTATACTACTTATGTTATTGGTGAGCGGAAAGTGAAACGACATCTGACAAGAAGGTGGAATAAAGAGAAAAATATGTACTATGTATAGCTTCTTATCTATAGAAAGGCGGTTATTAATCCTTCTGAAATAACTTTTATTGAAATATGACTTTCTTAGAACTGTGACAACAAAACATGCTATTAGCCAATGGATGAACCATTGCATTTTAAAATCAAATATTTATTCTTCTCACTTAAAAGTAAATCTGTAAATATACTTTTCAAAAGTACACTATAAACTTTATACACCAAGAACACATTTCCACTTTGCAATTAATGAGGAATTTGAGAGCTAGATGTCACCCTACTTCTGTTGTGTCAGATCCACAAGTACTAGAATCTTGGTGGAGGTTTTCAAAACGATCCCCAGGAACCTCACCAAAAGCAAAAGTCTGTGAATTTTACTTTTAAATTCTTTATTTATGTTTTAACTTTTTTCTTTTCACTTTACTTTTCTTGTAATATTTGACAATTGTGGTGGGTCTGGCTGAGCCAGAATTTATTTCCCCATAGCAGTCCTCACAGTGCCGTGCTCTGCATTGGTAGCTAGAGGAGTGTTGATAACATACCCATGTTTTGGCTACTGCTGAGCACAGCACTATAACATTCCTTCTTCAATCGAGGGCGAGATCCTGGGAGGGGACACAAGTAGGCCAGCTGACCCACACTGACCAAGGCAATATTCCAGACCATATGACGTCAACCCAGATATAAAAGCTGAGGCAAAGAGCAGGACGGGAGGCCCTCATTGTCTCTGATGGCTGCCTGCTGACAACTGTTACACATGCTGGAGCCCTGCTTTTCAGAGAAGTGGCCATCCATCACTGCTGATGGGAAGTAGAGATTAACTGCTGGCTTCTGCTTTGTGTGTGCGCACGCTGCTTTTGCTTTCTTTTTTGCATAAATATAAACTGCTTTATCGCAACCCACGATTTGTGTTGTTTTCTTTTCCCACCTTACTCTCTTCCCTGTCTGGCTGGGAAGGGGAGGGATAGAGCAGCTGGGTGGGCACCTGGCATTCAGCCAAGGTGAACCCACAACACAATAAAAGATGCTGAACAGGTTTTGAATGGGTCAATGTTTTAAAACTGTTTAGTAAGACAAGCTGAGAGAAAACCTCTTCCATGGGGAGTTTGACCAAATGTTGGACAGGAATGGAAAGTATACTTCGTGTCAGTCTCAGTTAACTATATGAATATTTTCCTCAGCCTGTATATGAAAGCTATCTGTATGAGTGGATTCTGAATGGCAAGGCACAGGAAAATTTTTGAAGGCACAGGAAAATTTCATTTAAAAATGAAGAGAAAGGTATGGGGAAAAAACAAACAAACAACAAGCAACAACAACAACAAAAAATATATCTCACAAGCTATTTTAAAAAAAAGTACCTCTCATTTACCTTAAATTTTCTGAACTGAATTCTGACTCCAAGAATTTCAGAAACTGCTCTCTTCCCACAGGGTCTTTCAAAGCTTCATCCATGCCAAACCCCCATCGTTTCACCCTCTGCTGTCCCGGCTCTTTGCTACAGAAGAAAAAAACAACAGAACCCAAAGTGAGCAATACTTTAGAATTCTAATACTCTGTGCTCATAATTTAGACTAAGTACTAAAGTTCGACCACAGGTTTCTCACCTTCTAGGTTGCTCATATCTGTGAAATGTTCAGAGATAAGCAAACAGACTGCTAGTACTTACACAGGATGAAGGTAATACACATGCATTTACACAGAAGAGTAAAGATTTCCAGCTAGAAATGTTATCAGATTTTAAAAGGTGTCCTTTTTTCACCATTCTAGAATCCTGTAAACTGGTTAATGTAACATTTTACACAGATTTATTAATCCAAAGCACTTCCCATCTTACAAAACTCTAAAGCTGGAAAGAGCAAGAAGATACTCCATTGCCCTTCTACCTCAGTATTTTCCTGCAATACCTCTGTTTGAAATCTTCACATGTCCAGTAAGCATGTTACACCCCCTTACTGCCAAAGAAGAAATAAAATTACATACCTTGCCTCCAGTTCCCAGAAAGTGGTGTCATCTGATATCCAAGGGTTTGATGGATCAGGGGGCACAAGAAAAGGATCATATTCCAAATACTGCTCTGAATAAGCTAATAGACTAGGCAAACAAAAGCATCAAACATGGTCATGTCAGGAGGTGTAGTAACCTGATCAAGTTACCCCCGTTAACAAGTTACCTTGCATCAGCTGAACCATGGTAACCATGTGTGCAACACTCAGAAGTTAGCTACAGGCTCAGGGTAAAATAGTTTTGCTAAAATCTTTTAAAAGTGGATCTCTGAAGAAGGAGGGGTGACTTAGGTCTATCAAGAGTTGAAATAAAATAAACTTCCCTAATACTTTCACATAGCTCCTTTTAGGGCGTTAATTAGGCACTAACAAATTAAGTCAAGCAACCTCTCCCATGCAGATTTGTTTTCATAAATGAACACATTTTATACCCCTATGGTTTTAATTATCAGTTCCTTTAAAATCTGTTCTAAAACACTGCATGCCATGTAGGTCATATTTGCGGGCCCTATACCTGCTAGGACTCCTTTTATCCTCTCTTAAAAATAATTAATATTTTTATTATTTCCTAATCCAATGGCACCTCTCCCAAATTTATTGTTTTCCAAAATAAACAGAATCTTTTTCTTAAATAATTTGGTATTCATTAATGGGTCTGACTCTATTAAACACACTAAAAACTTTGCTTGTATTCTCATAATTTACATCTCCCATGTCCTTATTCCTGTTTTCTGTTTCCTTTGGCCTCATAACTTTTGACAGGTAAGGACAACTATTCTTTCTTTTCATTTCAATTCATATTATATTGGTCAGCATTCTGTTTTTATGGCTCAACAAACAAAAATACTTAACCTGCCCTGTTTATAAATAAATATATGTATTTGTATATGTATGCATACATACACATATATAAGTAGACATGCATGCACAAACATATATGAGAGAATGAAGAACAATTGGTATTTGGCTTAGTTTCCTTTACTAAGCCTTAGGCAGCTGAATTTTCTGCAATTTTCACTATCTGTGTGTTTGATGTGTAAGATAGAACATTTGTTTTCTCCACCTCTTCTCTACTTAAGCTGTAGTTAGTCTTCCCAAGGGACTTTTTCTTTTGTTTCACAAATTAAATTTGCCAAATTTTGGTCCTATCTGGACAAAGATTCCTACTAGTGTAGGAATACTCTGACCCAAAGTAAGCTCAGGCTTACTTTGTTCAAGCAGTGACTAAGCTCTACACCAATCAGTTCCCTTGCTTTATCAGTGACTGCCCTTTTGAAATAGCAAAACAATAACCCCAGACCTATTTCCATTTAGCTTCCTGTCAATGCAAGATGAAACTTGAGATCACTTGGTCAGAGGCTCTTTCAGTGACTACTGGGTTTATCAGAATTGTATCATGGAATATCCGGGCCATCTTTTATTAGTAAAAGAACTTCATACCTCCCCACTTAAAGTAAATTCTCATCAGTTATTTCTATGATGTCCGAGCTCCCACATCTCTTTTTGAAGAGCTATTTGCTCTGAAAAGCTCTTTGAAGCTATTTCATACTGACATTTTCCCAATGGTTATCAGTCTAATTGAAAAACCAGAAAATGTGACAATATACATACCTCTCTGCAACTTTGGACATTTTTAATCTATGTCTGTCTAATTGCATTTGCCAGTGCTTAATCTGCAAGAAAGGAAGGCAAAGAGTTTTATGAGTAATTTTTTGCTTGAATCTATTTCTATAACTTTTTTTATTAGGGCTATAATTGAACCTTAATTTATCCTAGGGCACAGAAGAGAAATATATCAGAATTAAAACAACATTTCACCAGTGTAGTTCTAAAATAAATGGAATGTTCCATTAAAGAGAAAAGACAAAAAATGTGGCCAGTATAAAATTTTCCCTAAAGGTTCATCGACAGAAATCCAATTAGCCTTTTTTTTTTATATTTGAAGAGAGCTACTTATTCATCAACCATTTACCTTCTCTGAATTCTAACATCTCAGGAAAGATTAATAAAGCTTTAACAGTAGACAAATGTGTGAACCTATATATGCATACCTGGAGTGGTAAGTATACCCCCAAGCCTCAAATTAGTGTCAAAAGGAAGAGCAAGCTGTCTACTGCTGAAGGGGCTAATGGGCTTAGCTATACAAAGAAACCCCTCACTGGCCTGCTGCTCACTGCGAGATACAAAAAATGTCAAATTTTGTCCTGTTAGTTTTAATGAAGTTACATGCCTAAATCCATATATCTTGAAACAAAGAAAAGGTTTATTAAATGTTTGCTAGAGCTGTTTTGAACAACTTCCCAGTTAAAATAATTTTTGGTTTAATACCTACTTTCCTAGAAAGTTCATTTAAAAGTACACGTTTGTAGTTATGTTTCAAACCTCTTGGTGTAGTTCATCTTCTGTGGGTGGCTTAGTCTCTGGTACTGGCGTGTGGGTAGGGCTGTGACTCCGAATGTCATTTTGTAAGCCATAGACAGACTATGCAAAAAATATGGAACAATGACAGTTGCTTTCAGACAATGCTTTCTACAAATATTCATAGTAACCGTGATGCTTTAGTAAATTGTGCTCAAGAAGTTAGCCAATATAATCTTTTTTTAAAGAAACTGCAATAAACCATCCACTCAGATAAAATTGTGCATCTATAGTTAGGTGTAAAATAAATACCCCCAAATTCCCACAATTTCAAAATGCCATGGAACAAACGATCTACTTTTATTATATCTCTGTATTAACAGCATAGTAAGCATGGGGGATGACACTGAGAGATGCTATTACAGTAAGTGGAGATGACTCGTAATAGGAGTACCCTGAAAGGCAGACTATTGCACGGACTATTTGGATGACCCTCAAATTTGCAGTTACTGCCTGGTAAATACAATAATCTGGACCTTTTACCACCAAAAATAAGGCAAACTAAAACTTTCTCTAAATCCACTTTCCTTTTTAAAACATACTTTTCTATGGGTCAACATGAAAATATACCTCGAAGGAAGTACTTTCAAGTGGGAGTCAATCTACATTATTATGGAAGGATTTAAAAAGAAAGTTTTGAGACAACCCATCTATATATCCCTAGAGAAGTTACACTGAGCATGTCTGGATCCTAATTTAGATGAAACTAATTTCCTCCACTATTTCTGGTCAACCATTTTGGGCATAATTGTCAAAGAGAGACACTCTTTTCATTAAGAGCTGGACAAGAACTATTGTTAGAGTTTATGCTGAATTTTTAATTTATTTTTCCTTAATTTCTGACAGAAACATTTTAACATGCTTTATTCAATGTGCTAAACAACATGAATGAGGCATGCAAAGATGAATTTTATTTTCAAAATCTCTGTATATTTCTCCAAAGTCTTATGTGATAGCATTTACTTAGAATTAACAAATTTGTTAATACTAACACAACTAAGAGCTTATGAAATATTAACATACGTTCATGCATTTGCTCCTTGCAGCTGTAAGAAAAAAATGCTTTAAGAAACTGTGGAACTTCATGCTATAGATTTCCTCCACCTCCTGCTTTTGATATAATAACAATACTTACCTTTCTTGTTTTATGTGGATTTCTCATTCTTGAAGATTTTTTTATATCCACTTCAGTAGTGTTTACACATCCAGGCTATTAAAAGAAAAAGAAAGGAAAGCAGAAGACTAAACCTGTGAAGGAATTTCATATAATTTTCATTGAGATACTCTTCTTCAGTGTGCAAGACTAAATAATAAATAAACAGAGATGTATAATAACTCTATGTCCTTTTGCAGTGGTCCCTGTTAGAGTCCCTATGGAATGAGGCACTGAAGACCACATGCTTGGAATGTATGACAACGTGAATTTGAAATAAAATAAATTCTCAGGAGAAGTCAATCGCGTGTTTCTGCTTTGGTTTTGCCAAGGAAGCCATACATTGCATTACAGATATCCCTCAAAGAAGCACGATTGACCTAATTAGACAAAATAAACAGAATTCTGCAATACCCACCTCAGCTGTGAACCTAAGGCTCCCTTCAGGAGCATCTGATTTTGGGTCAATTTTTAAAGGTGATCTTCTTTTAAAAGAAAATGTGGGGGGAAAAGTACCCAAATGGGATTTGTTTCTTCAGAAAAGAAAGGGAAAAAACCAAACCAAACCAACAAAACAGGCTTCTGCAGCCTAACCAGAAGTCTAAACAAAATGACTCTCAACACATCTGATTCGGCTTTCAGCGATTCTTTCTTAAACTCTGTAGCATCCCAAAGTACACAAGTCCCCTAGTTTCTCCTAATTCATCTTCCTTTGACACTTACCCCTAAGTACAAAATCTGTGCATAAATCTGTTCTTCATGCATTGCAGGAAACAACTAATAATGAGTGTTTTACTCTCAGGTGATTTTTTCCTATTGATTTTAGCGGGATTACATTTGAGACTTAGAGCTGAAAGTCCAGGTTTTTAGTGAAGGTAGGTTGTTGGTTTTTTTTAATGGAAGTACCTAGATATCAAATTTACTTGCTCAACAACCTAGCTAGACTTATTATCACACTAATGATACAACCTCTTTCTTCTTATCATAATGTAAAATGCTTGATGTGGCTGTAAATCTTCACAGACAAAATTTTAAAAATTTCTTATATAGATAGAGCCAAGAAACAAATAGATTTCATTAAACCGAGCAATGGTACTTTGCCTTTGGAAAATACTGTAAAGAGATTGAGGTATGAATTTTTTTAACCAAGTATTTTTTTTAAAATCAATAAGTTTTTATTTTAAAGTAATAAATTAATGTGCATTTGATCATATTAAATTTGCAGTATAAACAGTTCCTCATGGCTAAAATTAAAAATAGGCACTTAGATAATATTCTCAAGACTGCATCTGACACTCTTATTGAGCTACATTTGTGAAGGTATCCTTTGTGCCTCTGAATGAAAATGGGAGTCTTTAAACTCAGGGTAACTTGCAACTCTCAAAGAAAAAAACAGGTTGAAAAATAGAAAATTCTGCATGATGGTCAATTTAAAGGCAGAAAGCAATTTCCCAGGGCAGTATACTGAGATATAAAGTTTTTAAAAAAACCCAGTGCATGTACTTTAGGATTACAGTAACAGCTGGTAGTGAAGAAGAAGGGCTTTAACAACATCTACAGCCTTTGAATGTAACAACTTGAATAGCAAGCACACTTACATAAGGCACAAACTGTTATTTGTTCAGTTTTCAGTTATGGTTTGTTAAAAGCATGTCCTAAAAATGGAGAGGGAAAAAATAAAAACAAACAAAAAAACCAACAAACAACAAACAAATCTCATCTGAAGCCTCTTATTTTTAAAGATTTCGAGCCTACCAGCAGTAAATAGGTACAGACAGATCTTGCACCCTGCCTGGGTAACTTACATGCCAGAATTTTGCAAACTGATGCAAGGGACACAAGAAATTCTGGCAGATTTTTGGAAATTAAACAAGGGCAAAGCTTTCGCTGGTTGCAAGGAAACCCAACCCAACACTGACCTACTACAGCTCCTAGTGGATTCTTACTGAAACCTGGCTGTTTATTACCTCTCTGAAGTAAAGCTGATATGGCATACTTCAGCAGGGGCACTCAGGAGAGGCTCTAAGGGCAGAAGCTTGACCAAGGTGTGACCGAGGAGAACATGACAGGAGAACACCAGCAGGAAGGTAGAGGCAGGGAAGTATCAGGAAGCTTTAGGGCAAAAGGGAAGGCAGCTAAAGGGACTATCAACTACTTTGACAGCCTCAGGTAATGATAGGAGTTTAGGACATATATCACTATCTCTATACAATACCACTCTCATAATTTGATTTATACTGAAAGTACCTAATGTAACTGGGGCCACAATTTATGTTTTCTTCTCAACTGAAGTATTTTATTACAATCATTCTTAATATGAGATGGAATTTATTTTTTCTCTGGAGCTGCCATACTTCATCTGTCAATATTTAGGAATAAATATCAAACATCTTTTCAATTAAAATAAACACAAAAGCTTGCATTATTTGAACATTTTGCTAAAATAACTCAGAGCCTTTGTGGGAAAATCTTTGCTGGACAACACTTCATTTTATTTGTATGCCCCCATTAACATAATAAGTATGTGTTTGGATACAATTATATTCAGCTGTGTTTTCTTTTTGTGTTGTTTTTTTAACTGGACTACCATAGTTCAAATAGTGAGATGCCTGTCAGAATGCTCTGCTGCAAGATTCCCATTTAGTGTGTAGTATATAATTTGCATACTAATACTGTAAATAGTTTTCAAACATTTCCTGGAAGACTTGAAATTCTTCTATATGTCTAAATAGAATGCTTATTTCTTTCAGGATTAATATTCTGTATGAGAACAGTTTCCCCTCCACACACGCAGAGGAAAGTCTTGTGACCTTGTTGAAATTATCATACAGCAAGATCATAATTATGGTAAAATTTGGCCCTCATCTGTTTTTAAATGTCTGGGTGAAAAACTGTCATACATTTAAAGGAAACTTAGTTTTTTTCATCTATCTATTAGCATGTCCTTATCTGAAAGAACAAATGCCACTGTATTAATTTAATTCAAATGATATGTCAGTCCAATCATGATAAATTCACTGCTGAGATAAATAGATGATGGTAAGTAATATGAAAAACCCACATATAGAAGATTTTTTGATCCCTACTTCAATTACTGGATAACAATGTCAGTATGAATCCCAAACAGCACAGCTTTCAATTGATGCTGTCTAGGAGGCTGCACAATAGGATTAAGAAAAGAAACACAATGGAAGAGGAAGTCTGGTATATAAGCAGAGGAGGTACAAGAATGTACATGCTTGGATCTGGCTATTGCCAACATTTGAAAACAACCATGTGAGATTATGTTTAGTTAAAAAAATATCCAGTTGATATTAATATTCTTTTCCTGATAACTGTGGCGACAGTAAATTAATTAATTAAAGCCCTTGTAATAGTGCTACAGTGAATTAATTTTATTGCACCTGTGGAACTCTTGGGAAGAATTAATTATTGACATAAAATGGCATACTTTAGCCATGGTACATTTCCATCCGCATAGTGCACATTTCTGAGTATTTATAGTCTGTTTGCTGTGCAAAGTTGCACACTCCAAGGGCGCTTTTATTGCAGGGCCACATAGCCCAAATCAAGTGTTATCAATGCCTTTTTGTGTAAAAATATCTTTGCTATGATGTACTTGTAATTATAATAAGCATGAAATGCTCAACAGAAAGCAAATTTATATTTATAATGACATCAGTTTAAGTTTTGATGGCTTTTTTTCTTTCTCAAAGATGGCAATTTAACTGTGAATCTACTTAAGCCAAAATAACCAGAAGTTTTCTGGTATCTGAGACAAATATACCCTTGTATGTGGGAGGGAATAAGCTCATGCATTCCAATAGGCTGGGAACTGTCTTTCTGTATTGCTGCTCACTAGGAAATGATCTGAAGCTGAACATGAGTCAGCAGTATCTCCTTGCAGCAATGCAGACAAACTACATACGCAGCTGCATTAGTAATAGCTTAGCCAGAAGGCAAAGGAAGTGCTTATTTTTTTCTGCTCAGCATCACAAGGAAATATCTGGAATGACAAGACTACTTTTGAGCCCCACAAACCACTCAAGAAATATATTCAAAATGGGAAAGTCCAGTAGAGGAACAGACTTTATTGTGCTGCAAAAGGTGAGGGCTAACTCTTGTCTTCTGTGCCTAACTGTGGCTTGCAGAGCTAGACCTCTCCTGGAGGTGCACTGTGGAAGAACAGGGGATAGTAGTCTGAAATTGCAGTAAAGGAACTTCTGGTCAGCTATAAAGAAATATACTTCATAATAAAAGTGAGAGAGGCTGTGGAATGTCCATCCCTGGTGATTTTCAATGTTTTTTTAACCAAATGGCTGGATAATCTTATTCAGCTTAGATGTTAGCACTGGTTTGAGCAGGAGGTTGGACTAGAAGACCTCCAGAGGTCTCTCTCAGTCTACATTTCCATGGTACAGCCTACTCTTCACAAGCTGCAGGGAGTGAAATTCAAATAATCCACTTTACAAAACAAGTATTCACATTGGTGTGAAATTCATCTCCCTGCCTTCCACTCCACAACTGCAGAATAGAAAGACAAGATTGGTATTTGCTTCATTATTGCTGCCTCTGCCCTCTGGCAGCCTGTGGTGCGCACTCAACCCATACAAACAAACATGGGGTTGATTTAAGGAAATGCAATTTCACAGTCTCTTTAGCTAAAAACACGTAGGTGCTATTTAAAATAATTACCTCATTTCAATATGCACACCCATAAATTCAGAGTTCATTAAAACAGTAAATATTTATGCAGATTGATTCACACACCTCATGCAATTTCATTGCATTTCAGTGTCAATGCACCATGAAATAGATATTTTTACTTGTTTTGCAAGCATTAGCTAACTTGTTAAGTTTCATTGCAAAATACTAAATTTCAATATTCCAGGCTTTCAAAACTTAAAGACTATAAATTTAAATTATGGACCTGGATACAAACATGACAGATCTTCTCTTCCACTGGAAAAGATAAAGTCAGACACACAAACATAAACGAGGCAGAGATTGAAAGCTGTCTTTTACATTATGTGTAATAGAAGACTATCACAAAAAAG